AGGTGCTGCACTTGCAGCGCAACTATCCTCTGAATGACGGCTGTCATGTCAACCACTTACCTGCACTCGCTTATACAATCCTCTCTTGAAAGAATATTAAGAAATCGGGATATGGGCTCATACAGGTGAGGAAGCAAAAGTCTTTACTCTGGGAGGGGGCGAGCCTACTTGCTACCGCTTCACAACCGAGAGACTTACCGCTGCGCTACAATCATGTTTGCGGTCCTACCGAGCGGATCACTGCATGTGCTACTATAAGTCCAGTGCATGGGCATTACACCATTGTGAATTTTAAGGGCTTATAACCCTCTTGCGAGACGAAGGTGGATGTAGTGACAAGTGGCGCGCTCACCACTCGCGCGGTCCTGGGTTCGAATCCCAGGTCGACACCCGCCCAGGCCAACCAAGCCTTCTACCCTCCGGGGACGGTAAATTGGTACCAGATTCGTCTGGGAGGATAAAACACTGACTTGTACATCGGCTGGCCCCGCAAGTCATTGTATAGGCCACATCGCATTCAATAAGCCACTACGATTCTGAATGGAAGTAGAATGCGTGCCGCATCCCACAAAGGGATTGATCAACGGCGAAGACTTTATCCTTTATCCCTTTTAACCCTCTTGCGAAATGTAGGTAGCAGTTTTGGTTTCCCATATTTGTAAACAGTGTTCCAGACCCCCTCGATCTACCTAGTCTCTAATCGAGGTTCCATGGTAAGTATTTAGGTGGACCTTCCCTGTTAGCCTTCATAGCAGGAGAGATATACCTTGAGGTTGTCTAGGATTTTCTCTCGATGTGACTTCCCCCCCCCCCCGGACGCTAGTGATGTAAGGGCAAGAGCGCCGCTTGCTATGCTCGCGAAACGGGATGATGTCTTGATGGCTCGTGCCTGGGCCAACTGGGTCTTCGACCTTCCTGGGGCAGGCAAGTCTTTACCAAACTCATCTGCGAGTATGAAACACTATTTAGTAACAACAGCTGGTTCTGCGAACCAATGTACAGGCCACTGCACTCAACATGCCACTGCGATTGCGAATGGAAGTGGGATGCCTTCCCCATCCTTAAAAAAAAGACCGTGATCACAAATGGAACCCTCAAGCTTTTACTTGCGCAAAATTTGATAGGCAGTCCAAAGTTCCAGATAGTTCAGGACATAGGATGGAGTGCAGGTATGCAGTACGGTATGTAGTAACTCTTCCCCATCTTATACTTTGCAGAGGACGCTTACCACGCGTGCGGACAGGAGATCAAATCTCGGATTGGCCCCCGCCCAGGCCAAGCAAGCCTTCTACCATCCGAGGACGATAAAGGGGTACCGGGTTCGTCTGGGAAGATAAGAGTACTGATTTGTACGTCAGCTAACCGCGCAAGCCACTAGATTCTGAGTGGAAGTAGAGCGTGTGCTATCAAAAAAAAGATTGATCAACGTCAAAGACTGATCCCACCTGGGCGATAGTGGTGATTGCCAAAAGTAGCCACTTTCCACCCCTTTCCCTTCCTGGCTCGATCAGGACTCCATTTAGGATTGAGGGAATTCCTTTCCGTTAATCTTAAAGACAACTCCCGCGACCATATTCATAGGTAATACAGTTCAAAAATAGAATTAATGTGATAATGTACTGTCTGGTTGTTTGATTTTGTAGAGAATTGAGAGTCTGTACAAAGAGCGCCGAGATAAGACCCTCTTTATTGCCAATGAATCAGGGGAGAAACGGACGAGCGTAAGGTTGGTTGGTCAAGGATCATGTTGTGGTAGGTTGCGGAGAGATGCGTGCGTGTAGACAAGGATAAAGACGAGAGAGCGCGAGTATAATAGGCGATAGAGCGGCAATGGCAGCTCTCACAATGACACGTCACGTGAGAGGGCCGGCATGGGGCCTATCGGGCGCAAATGCGGCCTGAAAGCTGTGGGTAGGCGCTCTGCGTTTTGCTGGACTGGTTTTTCAATCTCTTAAACGCAGGCATAGCCTCTGCGTTGCCTGCTCTGACCATACCGTGCCGGTTAGTTGAAACCTTAGCCATAATATCGCGGAAAGTGCCTTTAAAATGGAGTCCTGATCGAGCCAGCCAAGCCTTCTACCCTACGGGGCAGGCAAATTCGTATTAACGTCGTCTGGGAGGATAAACACTGACTAGTAAGTACATTGGCCGACCCCGTTAGGTGAGCGTGCTACCCGCGTCCATGTGCATCCAGTAGGATGCTATTCCGCATGCCTTTACGGCTTTCAAATGACAGCACAATGCTTGCTCCATCCTAAAAAGAGTTAATCGAAAACGAGAGCCTTAACCTTTTATTTGCGGGAAAAATTAACAGGAAATCAAAAGTCCCAAACAATTTGGGCTGAGAAAGAGTGCAGGTATGTAGTACACTATATGCAGCTTTTATCCTTTTTATCTTTTAAAGACAGCGCCCGCGATGGACTTTGGCAGGTTTCAGGGGTCACATTTGCTAGAACAGGTGGCCAATGAAGCACTAATCAAAAAAAAGCAGGAAAAAGGTGTGGAAGAGCGTGAAATAAGACCCTATGAAATTTAAGGCATGTGGACGAGTTTCGCAAACTTCTGGTGAGTTCTCCAATACACGTCGCCGCCTCGGAACTCTAGAAATTCAGCGTATATCAAATTGATCGTATGATCTATGATAACTGTCAAAACCAGTCGGGGGCGCGGATAAACAGGACAGGAGCGTCAGCGCCCGCTCTGTTGACTCCGCCCTCGTCAACCAATCGATTTCGAGCCGCAAGAGTGGGATTTCTGCTGTGATTGCGAACTCCGCGTTCGTTTTCAATGGAGGGTTTTTTCACTTTGGTTGATCGCGGACGCTGCCTTTAAGTTGCCATCCCAACTTCCGTTTGACGGCCTGACCTGGGGCTCAGGATTAGAGCTGGACAGCGGCGTCTGAAGCGCAAAACCAGATAATGGAGAATTTGATCAGGCTTAAAAGACAGTCCCGCGCTGCGTGAGAGCGCGATATTGCAGGCGTCGTCCTGTGTAAGCGCGGCCGCAGTCCCTAAGATTATCGCACTTTCGCGGCTTCAGGAGTAACAAAGGCGCTGCGGCCTCCATAAGTGGCAGTTCTAACGCCACCCTAGTTGGCCCGCCCGGATTATAGGCTATTTTCCATCGCACCTGAGAGTTTTAATACCAAGTTCCTACTTCTTTTCGCTGCCAAAGGTACTAGCACTGGACGAAATGAAGAGGCGATTAGTTATTCAGAGGCGGCAGGATTGCTTGCATAAAACGAGCAGGTCCGGAGAACTCGTACATGTAGCCAGTGGTCCCTATCAGGGTGTTCTCCACAATTTAGTTTTTCCCTTTCCTTCTGCTGAAGAGTCGAGCGAACCTGTTCAAGCGACACTGGCTTGTACCTGAACGCCCCTAGGCCACAACCGATTCATTGGTTTACTCTTAACACCCAAAGCGCGGGGGGGGAATCCATACGACACCCCCCCCCCCTCTCCCCCCAATGTGGATTCCATAACAATGATGTCCACCCACTGACGGCTATGGAACTGTCATTCACTCAGTCCATACACTGACAATTACTAACACAAGGTAAAATAAACAACTAGAACTATTGTACAAACCGGAAATGCTTGATGACAGCTGGCTTTGGATTTCCAGTTGTACCCGACGTATACACATAACACAACACATCTGAATTATGTCCAATAAGCATTATATAAAACTTGTTCTGTTACTAAACATGAACGCTATAGATCCACTACGTGAAGTATCTGATATCACAGATTTATATAATAAATTATCATTTCACAAAAAAGGGCACTAGTGAACTATTCTTCCCCGCTCTTCCGCAATGAGGCCGGTTTTTACCGACTTTTTTTCCAGCCAAATTCGGCTTGGATTTGGCTGAAAACTTGCTTCCAGGAGCAAACTTCGACCATTTATTGAACACGGATGTCACACCAATTTAGCCGAAAAAACTGGCCTGGCGCCGCGCGCCGCGCAGAAAATTACCCTGGGAATCACTAAAATTTGGTGCAAATTTTGGAGTTTCCCAAAACGTGGTTTTACCTCTTGAACATGGATAATACATCCGCTTGACACCGCTTGGCGACCGCGCCACAGGGGCCGGCGCGAAAACATCTCGAACACCAAAAAACGATGAAAATGTATACAGGGGCTTATTTGGATCATTTATCGCTAGAGCTGCGCCGCTGAGAATACACCACGATCGTCTCAGCACTGCCCTGAAGGTCGAGCCTCGCCTGATGAAATCACTTCTTCTCGCTGGTAGCGCTTAGGCAGAGCGTAAATGGCGCTGGTTGTCAAACTAGATAAATGCCATACTTCGCTTGATCAGCCGCATCTCAGCAACCCTAGCTACACAAAGTCTTGATCGATGTTGTGAAAAGGAGTTGTGGCAACAATTGCGCCAGCGGTCAAAAAAAATGAATGCCGCATTAGCGTACAGAGGTTACAGGGACATAGAGGTTACCTATTTCTTTTGTACTGCGCTGACAACAGCGCTGCTTTATGTGATTGCACCTCTCTCCACCTCGACACGGGTCAATTACGGCACCCCCCCCCCTCTCAAATGAGCGAATCATCAACACGATATTGCCTGACGCGCTGAGCAGTACTTACACGTGTTGGCCACTTATTCAACTATTACTACCCCCAGTTTGCGAAAAACAGCCGTATCTGATCGACTTTTTTCTACGGGGGGGGCAGATTTGGCCAGACAATTTGGTTTTTAGGGCGGTAACTCGACCTCGGTGAACGCGTTTGAATATCCAGCCCACTTAGCCTGAAAACGCCTGGAGGCCCCGCCCATCAGGCGCCAGTAATTTGGGGGCATTTGGCGCAGGGCCGCCGAGCGCCGTCAGACCCGGCGGATTGTGACTATTCTTGGTTGGGCAGGTCGGCGGCCAGCAGTTCTGGGAAGAGCGGATGTCAAATTTTCGTGTTCAGGAGCTCGATTACCCCTACGGAAACCCAACTTTCAGCCAAATCTGCCCCCGTAGAAAAAAGTCGATCAAGATCCGGCCCGTTTTCGGGGTAGTAATAATTGAAAAGTGCCGAAGTTTTCATACAGGTCTGTTTAAGGGCTACCAGTAAAGTTATGGTTCTTCACTGTCATTTCAAAGCAACAGAGAATTAGTATGAGACAATACAAGGTCAACGGTCCACACTAACTCAACTTAATTTTTGGCCTAAGAGGCTGCACACTCTACTGAAGGGGACATAGGGGGCGGGAGCATTCAGAGAAATGCTGGGCCTGCAAAGCTGGATTGACTCCGGTACCGAAATATAGGATTGCGAGAAAAGTCTCTGTCCACTGCTGAGGACTTTTTTCCTTTTTCTATTTATCTAAACTCAACATCACAGTGGAGAATTTAGTCAACAACATATACTCTTCATAGTTCAGCCACACACAGTTGCTCTACCTAATGGACAGGTAAGCATTCCCCTCCTTCCAGAACTGAGGAGCTGCGAGTAGAGTAAGTCAGCGGTTTCTCGACTGATGTTACTGAAAGTTTTCTTGGCTAAGAAAGCTTTAAAGGCAGTTGGCACGATAAATCGCTATACAGGTGTAGAATTTGTACAACTGGCTTAACAGAATTCCGTGACCTCGGACAGGCGCTGCGTGAAGCCTTTTCCAAGGAGGGTACCTCTATAACGCCCTATTGAGCAACAACTTTACGTCCCAAACGCCTTCCTTGCCCGCCCGCCCACAAACGGACGACCGTTTCTGACGCTCGTATTCATTCATTTGCTGAGCAAATTATGAAGCAAAGGGATTGGTATGAAGCGGCCGGTGATGCTGCATGCATACATATGGGTACACATATGCAGCCGTATCTTCGGTAGCGGTGATTGGGTACGGGAAACTCGTCCGAAATCGATTTACAAGTCACTGAGAACGGAGGCTTTTTCTTCGCGGATTTTGACCGTTTCACTCCGTTCTTTCGCCATTTCCCCACTACATAGCTCCCTACTAGCATTTTAGGCGAAGTAGGAAACCATCGTGCCAACTGCCTTTAAGGAGGCGGAGCAGGTAGCAGTCGTAGGGGACTACGTCAGGAGAATATGATGAGCGGGGACTGGTCTCCCAGCCTTGCTCCTCAATTATTTGGTAGGTCTCCATACTACCTCACCCATTTCAGTTCTTCACACATGATAAAGGCTCCCCGACCCGGAGTGGCCTCCCCTTGAAGAAGCCCATCCCCCTGCTCGCTACATAATAATGCCCATTTGAATGCTTTGACAGCCGCTGTCTTCTAGCTGTCTGCATACAGGATTTCGCAACAGGACCATCCACAAAAGTTTAAAAAGTGACCTAACCGGAGCGAAACGAGAAAGGAGATTCAGGCAAAGAATATCGGATGTCAAATCATCGAAAGCCACGAAAGAACACCTGATGAGTCCGGGGACGGGTTTTTTCAAGGTTACCCTTCGGGCGAAATGTGAGGTCACAGTGGTCATTGAACGCGCGCAAGCGAGAGCAGAGAACGAACCGAAACCCAAAGATCTATTCTAAGCAGTACGGAGACCCCGATTTTACCCGCATCTCACCAACCGCTTTTACTTATTGATAAAGCACCCTTTTCGTCGAATTACAACGAGCGCGTCCTGCCGCTGGGGAAATTTTTTGGAAAATACGATCCCCTCGATTTCGTCCTCAGCTACGACCTCCTCCTTCTACCTACTGTTCTGCCCCCCTTGCTAACTTTTTGGGGTATATAGCACCAGCCAAACAGGGAAACAGAAAAAACGCGAAAAGTCAACAACCCAGCCGGTGAACGCGACAAATTTCTTTCAAAGAGAATACGTAACCCCTCTCCCCTCCTTCCAACTACGAGCAAATGCGACCCCCTCTCAACAACGACCAAATACGACCCCCCCCCCTTGCCGCGGATTCCCCAACGTGACGTACCCTAATTGCAAACACCGCGTCCAGGTTCTAGAACTGAATATATTAGGTCATCCCATTCAAACGTGCCGCTGGTTTTTTTTGAATAAAACAAAGTGGAGAATAGATAGAAAAGTGATATTTCAGCTTTAGGATGAGTAAACCCTCCTTCACCAATGACCCGCTCCCAATGCCAACGACGGCCTTTGGACCTCTGGTACCTTCGATTTTTCAATAGGTGTGGGTAAATTGCTGTTGTTGCCAATTTCGGCAAATGACAAAACATTGTAGCGTTTGCCGTTGGAGAGTACTCTCAAATGAATAGGACAGTTGTAATCGCATGGCTTTATGACGGGCGAATGGGGCGATTGAACCCAGGTCTCAGTATTGTTTGTGTCCCAGCACTGATCTACAATACAGTTACTCGGGGTCTGGTACTATGACGAGCAACGTGCGCACTTCATTGTCGTATGTCGTGGTAGCATCCAATAACTGTCGATCTGAATGCTGAGGAACAGGCACACCGACAGTGACGGATTTGTTCTCTGTGTAGAGCCGCTTGAAAGCCACAGTGTGGGAGTCCTTTGCTATGATGATCATCCACTTGCGCCCACGTAACTCTTCATGGTAGAACTCGGCTGCTTCTCATCTGCATTCATACAAAATTGACGATTGTGAGTTTCGGCTCGAGGTCCAAGACCACCCATATTTCATCTAAGGCCTGGGTGCGTTTTCACAGTTGTGAGTGACATCTCATGCTGAGAACATTACTGCTAGAGGTATAGAATCGGTACTGCGTTCGTGCTTCTATAAGAAAATTAGGTACCCATGCGCCACCCTCTTGACCATCCTCAGTTTATCGGACATAACTCGGGCAGCAGTTGCAGCTGGGATGTCAGACTCGCGGGGAAGCTCGATAACGGTCCAGCTCTGTGATAGAATTATTATTGGTGCCTGACCTTCATCCCCCCCCTTTTTTCCTTGTGCGGATGATATTAACGACACAATGTTTTTTTCCTTTCTTAAATATCTACACACACACAGATACACTGACCAATCTTCTACCGTGTATTTCGAGAACACCCTTACACAGCCAACATGGCCGGTGCGAGCTAACAATAATAGAAGAAACCACTTTTCCTCTTATGACGTCTGATTTAAAAAACTGGCGCCTATTTTCACCCCTCGGGCTTCTTTTCAATTTCTTGAGAATTTCTTCTGGGGCTAGGTTCGCCGCAAAATATACAAAGCTTAAGGTACTAGCTTCCAAATGGTATAGTAGCCCGCTGCTCTATCCCCTTTGCTTTCTGGCATTCCTCTATATGTAGCGGCACGTTTGACAAATGGATGACCCTATAAATCCTTGTCCACTTAAGACGACGCTGGCTACATGCAGTGAAAGAGAAAAGCCTACCTTTCTCGCTTTTGATCACTTTTTTTCAAATCGCTAATAATAATAAACTGTCCTGCCCACCACCTAAGTTTCGTTCTTTCATAAAATGAAAAAATGATGCGCAGGTCGGGCTGCGCCGATTTTTTTTATGTTCAATCCATTTTATGGAAAGAAGGGGGGGGGTGGACGTTAGGGACCGGTTTGCTGTTCCCATGCATCGGAGTTCTTAGTTTACACGGAGTATGATAACAACCCTCCTTTACAAGATTTGACAAACTATCTCTACACATATTTCACTGGTAATTACTTCAAAATGGCTTTGTAATATTCACAGGTGCTAACTTGATGTTCGACATGGTCAATGGGAAGTAGAGTCCAAAGCGCCCCCCTCCCAACAAACTGCGTCAAAAAATGTTTTAACAAAAACAGGACACTAAAATCACGAAAACATTAAAAAAAAAACTCCATCATGTGATAAAGGACAAATCGCCAAAGTGAATCAGCAAACCTTGGAAGTGAACATCCTTTCGAACAGGTTCCGTCTCCGCTACCTTCTGTATTTCCGCTGACAACGATTTTGAGTCCTTTTCAACGCCGTCCGATACGAACAACATCTTTTCTTGTGAACTTATGTTTGTACCCGAAGAGTCTTGAAAAACTTCATGATTCGCGGGGGGAAAACCTGAAAATAAACTATAATCAATTAACCAAAAGATTTAAGAAAAACGAAAAACAAAGAAGAACAAAGAAACGAGAAAAGAAAGCGTTGCCTTTCAGGTCAATTATCTGCCTCACACTAACAAGGGGAACAAGGAGAACCGAACAGCAGTAACTGGATATTCCATAAGCCGCTCAAGATCATGTTGTCCGAAGTAATCATTTTAAAAAAAACAGCCTCCTTGGGACCCTTCGAATTTGGAACGTTCCATAAGGTATGAACTGTCTAATAGCATGCCCTTCAAAAAATCAGCCAGTACTACTGAAGTGCGGTCAAAATCCTACAGTGAAGTGTTAGTGGCGACCAAGATAACGTGGGGGCCCTTCAACCGTCGAGCCGTCGTGTGTGAGGCTAATCAGAATACTGTATGCCACTACCACTACTTCAATTAATGACAGTCCCCACATTCAAACAATTTGCAGGCGTCCTTCCTTGCTCGAGTAGTCTGGTCCTAACCATAAGTCTCTACCAGGAAAGGTCAACAGGTCAGCCCGGCCATTATGCAATGAGATGCACATCATTGTACTCATCTTGACACGGTGAACTCAGAACTATCTTCAAAATTTGCGGAACGATTCTCTGAGCGGAGTTATGGAGGTTTTTTTACTGTTTTTCTTCTTACAGGCGCGCTGGCGCCGAAGCGTTGGCACCTGTAGCGCGACTCACAGCGCTCTTCGCGCAAAATAGGTATCATATTCGTGTTCAGGGGGTCAAATAACCCCTAGAGACGTCACCTTAGCGAAATCTGAGGTTCTGACTCAACTTCG